TCACCGTCGATATCACCGAGGTTCAAAAATAGGCGGGCGAGGCGGACGTCCATTTCAAAAACGATGTTGGAGTTTTCTGTTGAAGCGCCCAAATCCGACCGCCATCCAACCCGAGGTCTAATTCACTCGCAACATCCAGCGCAAAAAAATCGCTAGTCTATCTGCCATCTAATTCTGAGTCGACGCCGAAAAATAGACTTGCGGCCACCAGGGCTATTTCAAAATAGGCCGATCAGCGGCGCGCGTATTTCAACGAGCTAGGAATAAGCCTGCGCAGGCGTGGTCTGCATATCAGCATCGTATCGTTTCTATTAAAAATTGGGGCGCCGCGGGGTCGAAATTTTGCAATCTTTTTTTGATTTAGGGCGAAAATGGGTCAGAATTTTGCAATCTTTTTTTTTCGCAGCCGCGTGGCGGCGGCGCTGGGTGACGCCAAATTCGCAGTCTACAAAAAGGGGCGTCGTCGCATGTGGTGCTGCAGTGCTGCACATGGGGGGGGGGTGCATTTTGTCTAGCCGCGTTTTCAGCGCGTGCCTTTTTTCCTGCAGCGTGAAAAAATGCATTTGCGCGCGCGTGGCGGGCGCTGCGAGGGCGTCTGCGCGCGCGCGGTCGCGAGCTCGCCTGGGCGATCGGCTTGTCGAGGCGAGTCGGGCTCAGGGGGGGGGGGGGTGAGGCGGTGGAGGGGGGGCAGCGCGGGTGGCGGTTGAATGACATATGGGCGGGACTGGGGCTTACAAGGCTAAGTCTTTTGGGGCTTGGGCGTGGTGCGATTGAGATGCGCGGCGGCGCTGGCAAGCGGGGGGGGGGGGCGGGCGCCCGCTGGGATTGCGGCGCGGGCAGCGCGCGATGGATCTGGCGTTGCGTGCTCGAGGATGCCAGCCGTGGCTCCGAGCGCGCATTCTTTTGCTGCCTCCGCCACGCGCGCGGCGCATTGGGCGCTGGTTCGGGCTGGCATTTAAGCCGAGGGGTTTCGTTCCTGGCGTCGCATGCACCCGCGGCATTTCTCTCGCAAGCCGATCGCGCAATGGTACTCGGCGCGCGCGCCGCGCGCCGTGACGCGCGACCAGCTTCGTTTGTCTATGGTGCATGGGTATCCGCCTCCAGCGCGAAGCCATCCGCCACGCGCGGCGCGCTGTCATCCATTCACGCCGAGCGTAAATTGAGGTCGCTGGGCGAGCGATGCGCGCGCCGCTTCCTGACGCCAAAAGCGCGCTCGTTCGAGCAGTGTTGCTTGTCTGCGGGTGCGCCGTTCATGTGTGCCGCGAGGCGTGCGCGCGCCGCGCAGCGAGCGCGCGTGCCTTATTTTCTGAGGCGGCGAAGGGCGCTGGATACGGCGGCGCCTGCGTCGCGCACGCGAGGTCGCCGCGCGCGTTGCGCAGTCTCGACCTGGGGGGAGCGGGTCGGGCTCGCGGCAGCGGGGCCGCGCCGAGTAGGTGTATCCGAACTCGTCGCGCAGGGGCATTTTGATGCGAGGGGTCAAATGCTCGTGGCGCGCGCTGCCTAAGACGCGCGTTGGGATCGGGGCGCCGCCCAGACCTCCAGCCTCTGATTTTCTTCGGCTGAAGTAAGCCGCTGGTGCACTGACATGACGGCCAGCAGCTCGGCCTGATGCAGGGCCAGCAATTGCGGCGCCGACGCCGTGCACGCGCTTGCGCGCGGTCGCGCTGGCCCAACCCATCGCCTGATACTCCAGCAGCGGCGCCGCGCGCCTGCGACGCTCGGCATCGGCGCTTCCTGCGCGCGATCAGTCAAGGCGACGCGCTGCGAACTAATAAAACAAAAAACGCTCGCGCTCCGCGCGAACCAGCAGCAATTGCCAATCACTGCTCCGTCGCGCAAGCGCCAGCCGAGCGAAAAAAAGGCACGGTGCGCTCTCTTCGGCGGCCCGCAGGCGCGCCGTTCGAAATGCTTCCAGGGCGCAGCGCAGCGGGCGAGCGGCCTTCGCGCCGTCTTCGCCTGGCAATGTGAGTTGGCCAGTCGGCTTGCGTCGCGACGCCCGCTTTCCGAGCATAAAATTGTAAAAATTCGCCCGCGCTTCGCGCGGAGAGGTGCAGCCGCGATGGGGGGGGGGGGGGCCCGCGGGGTTCAGCGCGTGGCGGAGCCGCGCGCTCGAGGGAAGAGGGCTCGAGGGGGCAGGCGCGCTGCGGCGCGCGCTGCAGTGGTCGCATCGCGCCATGCGCCGCGCTCGCACTGGCTAGCACGTGGCGGATCGCCGATTCGGTCGGGTCGGGTCGGCAACATGAAATCAGCAGCGATCAGCGCGTGCAGGGCAGCGGCGCGCTGCGCACGCGAACAGTGGCATTGTCTTTTTCGCGGCACCATCGGCCATCGGCAGACGCGCCGCGCAAGGCGGAAGCTGCATGTGCAACGCCAGGGGGCGCGCGCGCCCTCCAGCAGCAGGGCTGCGCATCGGGTCCACAAGAGCGACTTGTCAACCCAGTGGCGTGCAATTCATGCTCAGCGCATGCGGCGGCTTGGCGCGCTTGGCCCAGGGCGCCGCGGGCCAGAAGCGGCGTCGCAAGCCCCGCGGGCAGCTTCCACCGATTTGGCCTTTGTCGTCGGTGACAGATATCGCGTGGCCAAGGTCCGATGCCGCGTGGCGCGCCCCCGCCAGAACTCGGTCTGCGCGTGCTCGCCCATTGGGTTTGCCCGCGCATAAGTGGGCGCTGCGATCGCTTCGGCCCGCGCAGCGCCGAAGCAGCATTGTTGTAATTGCGCCTCGGTGCCGCCTTTTGTGGCATTAGAACGCCGAACTCGCTGCTGACAGGTGCGTGCACAATGTAGTTTCATTCAATCAGGTAGCAGATGCGGCGCATGCGCGCGTGCGTGGCTGCTCATTTAGAAAATGATATCGCAGCGACGCTGGTGGCCTGAGACTTTCATAAGGGTGTAGTCGCGGCAGAAATGGTTTCTGCGTTAACGTGGGGCCGTCACATGTCCAGCAACGCGCGGGCGCGCGAGGTGCGTGCGCGTTCGCGCGGTGCGTGTGATTACACTGCGCGCGTGAGCAACACAACGATGCTGGATTGGAAGCGTAGGTTGCGCCCAACGGTTACTCAGCATAGCGGTGGCGCGTTTGTTGTCGTGCGTCAAGGTGCGCAGCGCTCGCGCGCGCAAACGCACTGTCCATTGCTCAACGCCTTGGGTACCCGTTCCCCTGCCTCACTGGGTCGTATCGTTAAGCGTTTCGGCTATTCGCTTCAATCATACTCAGGTCTTGATGATCAAGTTTTTTTTGTTTTCGTTGCTGGTTGTTTTTCTGTTGAAAGGAGGGGGCGGCGGAGGCTCATACAATTCCCACTGTGGCAACCCGCCGGACCCCCAGAGCCCGTCGTCGGCAGCCCAACGGCGCCGCGGCGGGCCCACCCCTCGCGCTCCAGTGCGAGCCTCGGGGGCGCCGTTGCTCCCTGATGGGTCACGCTGGGGCTTGGCGGGGGGGCAGGGGTGGTCCTGGCCCCTCTCGTCGGGCAGTGGGCATGCCATAGCTTTACCAGCGAGGGTGCCCTCCTTGAGTGGAGGGTAGCGGTTCGGAGGAGGAGGAGGAGAACGGCGGATTTAGACAAGCCCAAAACGGCCCAATCTAATTGCTTTCCCATGCGGTTGGTCAGGTTTAGGCTGGGCCAGTGGGTTGCAAGCTCCGCCATGTAAGTGCGTTGCTTGTTTTGATGACCCCATGCGTCGTGGCCTTGCAAGGGGCTCGCATTGTGGTGTTGTTGTTCGTTCTGGCGGCGCGTTAGTCATGTTGTTGTCGCTTTGCTTTGGCTCCTGGGGGGTCCGATGCAAGTCCCGCCGCAGGCGCCGAACTTGGAGCTTCGTTTGAGGAGGCGAGGCGCATTTTGTATTAGAGTATTTCCTTGTTTGGATGTCGGCTTCCATGTTCAAGCTTGGCGGGGTCCTGGTTGTTACCGGGGCTGGCGGAGTTCGGACAGCGTTAAAAACATTATACCTTTCTGCGGCATGCCTGTCTTCGGGGCCACAAGTTGGCTGTCTTCGGGAGCGCTATCCATTTGTTGTCTTCGGGGCAACTAATTGGTTATCTTTGGGGCCACTAATTGGTTGTCTTCGGGGCTACGAATTGGTTGTCTTCGGGGCCACAATTGGCTGTCTTCGGGGCCACGAATTGGCTGTCTTCGGGGGCCACGAATTGGCTGTCTTCGGGGCCACTAATTGGCTGTCTTCGGGGCCACGAGTTGGCAATCTTCGGGGCTACTGATTAGCTGCTAGTGGGCGTTTGCCTTCTTCGGGGCCACGAAATTGGCTGTTTTAGGGAGCATTAATTTGCTGTCTTCGGAGCCACGAATTGGTTGTCTTCGGGGCCACAATTGGCTGTCTTCGGGGCCACGAATTGGCTGTCTTCTGGTTTTCTTCGGGGCCACTAATTGGCTGTCTTCGGGGCCACTAATTGGCTGCTTTCTGGGCCACCAATTGGCAGTCTTCGAGGCCAAGAATTGGCTGTCTTCGGTGCAATGAAATTGCTGTATACTGTATTCGATGCTCGCATGTCCTTTCTTGCCATCCGTGTGTTGTCGCAGATTGACAATCGTTGTGGGCCAGGGGCCTTCTTTGTTGAAGGCAGCGATCCAGTTGTTAGCTCTACACTTGAATGCTCGTGTGAGGATGCTTGATCATATTCGTCGTGTTACTGGGCTCATACTTCATAATTGTCGACTGCGTTGCTGTAGGGTTGAAAACCCTTCACATCTGGTTTGCGTACTTTTCGGTAGAGAGATGGTTGCGCTGCGAACCGCAGTTTTTACCTCGAGTCGCCAGGTTTTTGCTGTGCATGGGGTTTGTTTTCTGTCCGCAAAAAGCTCAGGGGTTCCAGCCAGAACAGTTGCGATGGCTAGAACAGCGAAGCGTGCTTCTTCCGGTGGTGGTGGCGGAGGCGGCGGCAAGGCACCGCGCAAGCAGCAGGCCGAGAAAAAAGATTCTGGGGCTCGTGGTTTGGGAGATCGGACCAACTGCGGTCGTTGCGCGGCTGTGCTGGAGCAGTCAGATGTGGTTCTGTGTGGCAGTCGTTGCAAGAAGCTCTGGGTCGTTGCGTATTCGTACATGACGGAGGATGAGTTCGCTGATCAGTACAAGGGTTCGTTAGAGTTCCAGCACAGCGTGGATCTCGCGGAAAGGGTGTTCGAGAAGAAGCTCGATCGTGCTTTCTACCCGTCTTCTATCCAGCGCGAGGACGCCGTCGAGATGGTCGCCGTTGGTAGGTTCCGAGGCTACACTTCGCAGGATTTCAAGGAGGAGTTCAAAATGACCATCTCCGAGGCTGGCTTCAAGGTCCGTGAGGTTCCTGCCGCGGATGGGTCCACGTACAAAGGCGTCTTGGTGAACATTGGTGACACAAAGAACAGGGGCGTTGAGCTCAGGGTGTCGAAGGGCTTCACGCTCCAGGAACACCTGCTGCAGTCGTCCAACTGCGTGCACCCAGATCAGGGCCACCAGAGCTTCGAGGCCATCAAGGACAAGGACAAGAACCACAAGGACCTCGTGACCATGGCCTTGAACGCGCCCAGCCTGGAGGACTCTGGGATCAATTCCAGGTTCGTCGTTCTTCTCACTCTTGTGTTTCTGAGGGGCTCGGTTTTGAAGACGTTCAGGTTTAGTTATTGTTGAATTTCTTTGGAACCCCGTTCGATGCTGACCATCGCACTTGATCTCGTTCTCTGAGCCACAGCTTGGAGACTTATGCATGGTTCAGCGGTTGGACCTCACGCGATCTATTGTTGCACTGGATCTTGGGTTCCAGTTGGGGTGATGCGCCCTTTCGTCCATTTGTCTGGCTCTCTAGGCACATTATGTTGAGGTCTCTTTTCGGGGGGGGAGGTTCATGTTGTATGCGTGCGTACTTGTATGTATGAGTCTGCGTACGTATACGTATGATGCATTCGTGTATGTACGCATGGGTGTACGCATGTAGTACCAGCTCGTGGTATTAGTACGTATACGCGTAAGTGTGCAGTACCCAAGTGCGAAGTAAAGAGTGTTGTAGTTAGCGTGTGTGAACGTGTGTACGAACAGTGTGCACGTATGTACGTATGTAGGTATGAGTATGTCGTATTAGTATGTAAGCTAGTGTGGATCGGAAAACGTATGGGTGCATGCGCACGTTTCGTTTCGAAATACCACATTGTGATCTCAAGAGTTTGGGTCTGCGTAGTGTTGCGCATGTCGTCAGCGCGCGTGGCGTGGTGTCCATGTCTGGTGCAACCCTTTTGCGCTTTCGGATGTTTTTGGCATGGATTTCGAACTGAATGAGACCGTGAGCTTTTGCTGCGGTGTTGGAGGGATTCCTGGGCCCTGCTTCGCCCCATCGGTTGTCCTCAACCTCTCACTCCGATGGGCCCCAAGTGGTTCCGTCATTCTTGGTCGCCCGTGGTGGAGCACGGGCGACACATGTATGTTGTTTACTGTTACTGTCACCACGAGCACGACTTTTATTACGACTTCAACATCATCAGTCACTACTTTTATTACTATCTTTACTGCTTAGTAGTGATACTACGACTGCTACTACTACTATTGCTGCGGCTACTCCTCCTGCCACTACGGCTGCAACCACGCCTACCTTAGTATTTATTTACTACTACTACGATTACTACGACTACTACAACTACGACTATGGCAACGACTACGGTTATTATCACCCATTGAACTGCCATTGCTAATCTTACGACTACTACTACTACGACCACGACTACTACTACTACCAGCACTACTAGGATTGCTACCACTAGCACTGCTACTACAACTGCTACTGCTACTTGCACTTATACTGCCACTACTACTACTACTTCTGCTACTTCTACTACTACTACTTATAGTATTACTGCGACTGCTACTACTAACTGCCACTACTACTACGTATTGCCCTTCTCACTCTTTATCCCCCTCCTCCTCCTTCTCTAATTTTCCGCCCTCCCTCCCGTGTCTCCCTCCTTCCCCTCCATTCGCACCGTTGCATTGCGCCCGTTCACGCCGCGCAGCAAAACCGTCAGCACCGTCAGCGCAACGCAATGCCATTGCATCATGGTTCTGAAGGTCATGCGGGCTCTTCTGCACGCGTCCTCGCGCGCAGTGCCCATTTCGTTTCGCATCGTCGTTTTGTCTGCGGTGCCTGCGCAAAAAGCCACGCATGCTTCCCAACGTGTTCGCGTCAACGTTTGTCGGTGTGTCGGCGTGTTGGTTCGGTTCCACTTAATTTGTGCGTTCCCGCGTTATGTCCTTTCTTCGCTCGCCCGCTTCCCCTCCTCTTTCCCGCTGCTCGCCTCGCAATCGCACCATGCGTGTTTCTTCTGCGCACCGCCGAGGCGCGTGCTTCGTCGGGCGAGTCATTGTTTCTTCGCCCCCTTCCGCTTCAACCAAAACGCGCCAGCGTCAACGCCGAAACCGCCAAGGCGCGCGCCGCCGCGATCACCGAGCATCGGGCAGCGGATGGCCCCGATCGCTTCACTTGCGGGGGGGAGTTGGGTCGCTGACCTCAGCGGCCCCGAGATGCGCGACCTTTTGCCGCTGGACTGCGATGCTGGCGGCGCGGCCGTGCGCGCCCACATCGCGGCGCAACCAGGAGCGGGCGGTCATCGTGGCGAGGGGGGTGTTCGGGTGCAGCGCTGCGTTTGTGCCGTGCCAGTACCTGGATACATGGGCCCCCTCGGGGAGCAGGTATGCCCCAAGCGGGTTGGCGCCCAGCGCGTCGGTGCCAAGACGTTCGGCGGCCTCGACACGCCTCGCGCGCGCTCCGCCGTCAAGCGAGGCGACAGCGCGCGCTGCACTTGTCGCGGAGACGGCTGCCGCCAGTTCGGGGCCGTGAACGCGGGCAAGAGCTAGAAGCGCTGGCGGGGCAGCATGCGGGTTTGGGCATGCGGCTGCGGGTTCATTGCCGTCCAGCAAGATCAATGGCGGGGCGGGCGGGGCGGGCGAGATGCTATTTGGCGGATCGCTCTGGCCACTACAGATGCCCCTAGCCTTGCCCAGGTCCTCGCGCAGGTGGCGCCGAACGAGAAGTTTGGGGCTGAAGCGACCTGCGTCGCTGGCACCCGCGGACAACCAGTACTTCGCGGACGCGCGCCTTGCCCTGTTCGGGGTGCTCGTCGGGCGCTTCTGCGCAGACGGCGAGGTCAGCAGTGTGGCCTGCGGCGTCATTGGCCTGGCGGACAAGTGGAGCTCGATTTCTACGCTGCGGCGGATCGAGAAGTGTTGCCAGCGTCTCGCGCAGAGGGCCGTCGGCGTCGACGCCGCCCCGATCGTTGCAAATGCTATCCGTTCGGCGTCGATCACAAGGCGACGTTTTCGGCGCGTCGGGGGGGGGGGGGCTGCGGCGGCAGCGCGGCGGCGCGGGCGTTGCCGCCGCGCGTGGCTCTCCGCGCCGAAGAGGAGGCCGCGGGGAGAGAGCCGCTGACGCCGCAGCGCTGCGCAGTGGCTCGCATTCGTAGCGCAGGTTTTCTTTGTGGCTCCACGGCGCAGGTTTTTCTTTTAGGGCCCAGCGCGCGTCGTTCTCGAGCGGTCGAAGCTGCTTCCGCGAGATGGGGGGGGAGATCGGCAGTGGCGCGCCTATGTTTTTTTTCAACGTTTTGGCGTCCGAAGAAACGCACAGTGCGCCGACGCCCTGGTCTTCGCGTGCGTTTATGCTGCTCGCAGCGTCGTGTTGCAGAAAGGGCGTGGGTTGCGTTTTGTTGAGTCTATCTATGTGGCTCTTGTAGTTTAGTTATTGTTATTTCGGGTGGATCAACGTCGCTTCTGTTGTTGTGCCCCCCCCCCCCCCTCCCCCCCCTGCTCGCAGTAGGCTCGCCGCCCCGCTGCTTTATTTGATCGGCCTTGCTCGTCGCCGCGTGGATCAAACATTCCGTCCGTTCTCCCCTCCCGCCCCCCCCCTTCCCCCTCGCTCTTTCGTCGTGCGAACGTGTAAAATTTCCAGCCGCATTCGCCCCCCCCCCCCCCCCCCCCTCCCCCCCTCTTCATGCCCCCCTCCTTTTCGCTCGGCCCGCGGAGGTCGCGACAGAACGCTTCATTGCATCGAGGAGGCGGCGCGGGGCGCAATTCGCAACCTAGCGCCCATGGCCCTCTGCACGTTGCCCGCGCGGCCGCGAGGGGCACCGTGCTTTGGGCGGGGCAGGTCATGGGTCGCATCGACCCGAGGGGCGACGCGCGCGGCTGGAATCCTTTGTGGCGGCAGTTCTCGCCGCAGGGTGCTAGGCCCATTCCATCGGCGAGGAGATCCGTTTGGGGTGGGCATGGAGTCGCCCACTCCATGTCAGGGGGCTCTTGACACAGCTTCAAGACGGAGTCAGCGGGCGGCGGGATCGGCCGTCTGCGGCGCCCCCGCGCGTGCCAGGGCGACGTTCGCGGTGGCGACCGCTTCGAGGAGTTCAACGCGTCGGTTCTCTGCGCTCGGCGGCGGCGGGCGCGCTTCTTCGGACATTGCGCGGCGGCCGCGGCCGCTGCCGCAAGCGGCGGTTTCCATTGTTCGTCGTGGCGCCAGGCAGGGGGCGGCGGGTCGCTCGTTTGGCACCCCCCCCGCGGGCCTGCAAGGGAGGCGGAGGTTTCGCGTCTCATCTGCCCCCCCGCGCGCGACGTATTTTGTCAGAGTCGCGCTCTTCGGAAGAGGCTCATGGGTTCAATTTAGTGGCTGCGCTGGCCTTTCACTGTCGATCGCATCGGGTGGTTCGGCAGCCATGGGCTGCGGTGGCGCTCCAGTGCGCGGGCGGCAACGACGCGGCGGCAGATGTTGCACCGTGCCCAAATCTTCGTCTTTGCAGCCAAGCGCCAGCCCGCGCGTTGAAGGTCCTGCGAGAAGGTTCGCAATCTCGGCCCATCGCTTGGATGCCTTTACCGCGGAGGGACTGCGCCGCTCGAGGTTTTCTCGCGGTTGCTACTGACGTTCGACGCCCGCGGGTCTGGGTTCGGCCCCTGGGCGCAAAGCAAACGCATGACCTTCAGTCGCGCCAGCGGCTTTCTTCAACAGATCGCCAACGTCGGCGCGCTGCTCTTCCGCAGAGGTGCCTTGCTTGGGGGCTTCGGGGTCCTTCATTGGTGGCGGGAGACCAAGCCCCTGGAGGACACGTTCCTGGATATGTCGAAGCAGCGTCGGGCGAGCTGCGGCCTGGGGCTCGCTCTCTCTCGTGCGCCAACTTGCGCCCCCGATCGCGTCGGCAGGGGCTGCCTCATCTGCTTGCGCATTTTCTTTCGAAATTGTTCATTCTGCGCTGCGAGCAGGTGGTAGCGTCGCGCGCGCTGCGCTGCCTGAGCGGACGGTAGCCCGCGGCGCTTAGCTCGTGGCGCTGCGTTGAACATCGCGACTTCCATCGCTGGGTGCGGGGGTGGCTGCTTCGCGCGTGGGCATCGTCGTGGCGAGTCTGGGATGCATTTGTGGTGGCGGGTCCGACGTCCGCCTGCCAGTGGGTTTGGATATTCGTAATGTGAAAGCCATCGCGCGTCGCGCGTCTGCGCTTTGTAGAGCCGCGCAACGGCGGTCGCGCGGTCGTTTCGGTCGAGGGAGAGGGGGGCGCGCGAGCACGGGGGGCTATCCTGCGTCCCTTCACGATCT